ATTTCTGATCGTATAAACTTGATTTAAACATTTTCCGATAGCTTATTTCTCGAGGATTAAAAATATATAAAATTCACCTTGCCTTGGAGCAGAAAGTAAAGGAAATTTTGAAGAACAATTCAATTTCGCGCATTGAAATTAAAACTTAATGTATTATTGTATTGATTGGAAAAACAGGTTTTACTAGTGATGAAAAATTAACCAATCGTAGGCAATCAAAATAATTTAATTATCTTTAGCCAATGACAGTTTACTACTCAGATCTGAGTAGCTCGACAAGCAATCGCGTGAGTTTTCACAGACTGTAGTACAGGGTAATACAGGATGTGCACAGGCTATGACATACCTAATAACAATAAATTAGGATATCATATATAGACTGTTGCAATGATTATGTCATTAGTAAAAAAATGAGGCTTGGTACCGATTTTAAATAAATAACTTATAGGGTTTTACGTGACACTTCTGTCAGGAGTTTTGGAGGAGGTAACTGAGCTGTCAGGAGTTTTGGATTCACCAGATGATTACATTTCATCATCACTTCGAGAAGAGTTACATGACTTGCTACCCAACCCTGAAGATATAAAATGCACTGAGTTTGTTCAAACATACATTATGTTGAAACAAAGATATTCAGATTCTATAACAAACTAAACTTTAGAATACGTATTTATCAAACGTTGTCCTAATTGCAGACACTTGTAATATTCCAAACCATTTGGAGCTTTGAAGAGTCATACCGAAAACCTATTTTCTTGATCATACCAAAGCAATTTGCGAAAGCCACTATTTGAATTGGGTTCAGCACATGTGTATAGCATCTCACCTGAGACAGTTATTACTCTTAGTAGTAACTGAAGCTCCATGGCGAGCTAGAACAGGCTTTTGGCTTTGAAGATCATCATAATCACATAATGACAACTTGCTCCTTCACTATTACAAGCATCTGCACAACAATCTGAACAAAGACTACACTAAATTCAAATTAATAAATTATTAAAATTGGTATAATGTATGTTCTCAACGAAGACCAATAGTAAAGAAAAACTGTCAACAATTTTAAATGGAACACAAATATGTCTTCAACGACACAAAGCTGGAGCAATAGCAAGCACATGCACAGGCCTTGCCAGCATAACAAATGGAACATGTCTTATCAAGTTATTTGATTAATTTTATTTTATGAACTGTCCCCCACATTCTCTGGCAATAGTCCAAGCAGGTTGCAAAACACACTGCATTGATGTGTCTGGAAAAAATTGGTGTATGCTTCGTTTGAAAGGTTGCCAGCACAAAAGAGAAAGTGTCTATCTTCATCAAAAACTCCACTCAATGTTGCAATCTCTGGGTCTGTTAGGGTGTAGTTTGCTCCTTGAATGTCAACCAGCAACAGCAGAGGAGGAGTGAGGACTATACCGGCATGCAATGCGGTCAGGCGCGGTTTTTTACATATTATCGATTTCTCGCTCTGCGCCGTCATTGTTCGGTCGGCTTTCGCTGTGTTTACATTTCAAGGTTTCAAAAGATTCAGAAAAGATTTATCGAAAAAAAATTGTAAAATGGTGGATTTTTGCACTATGCATGGAAAGAAAGCTTCGTTTTTGGGTGGACACGAGCTTCTGTGTGTTCACTGTGTGTCAAAACAGCCTTTAATCTTGATTCCGGAATAATTACCGTGTGATGAACTTGAATGTCGTGAGGTTCATGTTTATAGTTTTACGGATAGTTCGAAGAATAGTCCTTTGTCCAGCTGTGGTTAACGGGATAAAAATTGATGAAATGTTCGCTGATTGCGGTAGTCCTCCACTGGTACAAATTCACTCTAGTTGTATTTTTAAGGTGAGATGATTTTTATATAAAAATAAAAATAGAAATCTAAAAATGCTGCTATGTTGTATAAATACAGCAGTATTATTAATTAAACGCATTTTTATTTCATATCATGTAGTTCTTCGACCCTAATGATCTACGGGAAGGAGGTATAAACAAAGAATATAGCAATGTTATGTTGTGGGAGTTTGACATTTCAACATCACCAACATCCCAAGCAATCCCACCATGTGACCCAGATAGTCAAGATGATGAGCTGGATAGTGTACTTCCACCAACAGAATTACATCAGCCAACTGACTGTATAACTGTTTTAATTTACCAATAAACCCTGTTTGCCTGACAGACATTCATACACACCGAATGATGGAAGAAGCACCCAGTGGTAGCATTGTTGTAAAGAATGAAATGGAGGAAATTCAACACTATCGCAACACTATATATATAAATGTATTGACTACTGTGTGATGCATTGCAAGGTTTATACTGATCAACCAGTTATCTATGCTCAAATGATCAACCAGTTGTCTATTATTTTACTCTGCCTAACCCCAGATTATTTTGCTGTCTAACACTAGACTATTTACTCATCAGGGGGAGAGTGCTGACACTCAAATACTCAATGGGTTAAAAAACATTGAAAGAAAATGTTTAGCAGAAGCTGAAAAATTGTTTATTGGTGTCTGGTGTAATACTGATATTTCTTTTATTTGTAAGGATAGATCTGGGGAGCTTCTAATGGTGCAGTTTTGGCCCTACCCCAGTTTTCCTGTACTGCATGTGCTTTTCTCATTTCCCTGATTATACCATAAGTATTGTATCCCATGGACACCATCTTATCAGTTCTGCAGTTTTTTGACAATCTACTGTAAACCTCCACCTAAAATCACTGGGCTTATATTCTTTTGTAAGCGTTTTTTGATGGGCTTACATAAGGGGGGCTTATACACGGGGGGGGGGGAGCTTATATTCAGAGGTTTATGGTATGTATGGTTTTCATGAGTTTCAGTGTATAGTCTTCCCTTGCTCATCACAAATTAATAAAAAGATCACGCACCACATAATTGATGTTGATAAAATTTATTTATTTTAAAGTCGGAAAAATATTAACATAATATTGCTGTACTTAAAGATAATTAAAATGTTTTTAAAAATAAAATTTTATGCACACAATTTTAAAATATTGCACACATTCATTTCACCAGTACACATGGATGCTATACACACGTAAAAATTGAGAAAATCAACAACTTGTTGCAAGTTGATATCGATAGGTGTAAACAAAGTTATGCGGCCCACTATGAACAGTATTGTCAACATGTTGTTACAGCATTGTTCAACTGTAACAACTTGGAACAACATGGCCGGGTGACAACTTGTTCATAGTTGGCCACACAACATTGTTCACGCCTGTCGATATCAACTTGCAACAACCTGTGTGTTTTTAGCTGTGTATATGATAAAGTATATGAAAGGTGATGCTTTTGCTCTAGCTTAATGATGTATTAAAACAATCTAGAGGTATTACAGAATTAGTAAACCTCTTCAATCATAATCATTTGCATGATTGGCTGCAACAGATATGAATTCAGTGAATGCTTTATCTTCCTCAAATGTCCATTTATGAAGTCTTACTGGGAATTTCTTTGGAGGAGTCATTTAATCTTTCTGATAAGAAACTACAAAACAAACAGCAAAAGTGAGAGGGGCAATGTTAGTGCCAGCACAATTAGACAACAACAAAGAAACTCATGGATTTTTACCAGGATTGTGTGGATGCTTCTCCAGGAAATTTGTGTACTATAGTCTATAGGTTTTCTGGAATGCCCAGCATTGAAAAATAATGTTGGCGTACGGGTGGATAGAAATTGCCCAACATTGTCATGAGTTTATTGATAGATGAACAAGAGGTATAAAATAGAAGGAATACATCTCCTATACAGGCTTGCAGAAACAGAAATACTGTTTAAAGTCAATCTTAAAACAATTGCCCAATTTTTAAAACAGAATTCTGCCCAACTAAACACTGACTGGAGGGGTTGCAACCCCCCCCCCCCCCCCCCCCCCCCCCCCCCCCCCC